TACAGACCCAGATAACTGCTTCTTCCTATGGGATCCTGCACTTCCATTCTTTTGTCACAACATCCATGATTATGACAAGTGAATTCCAACCCATAGAAACCCTCCGTGGGGTTTCCAAGGATGTAAGTCTTTATGGAAGCAGATAGTCTCAACTTCGCCCTCAGAGTGGCTGCTGACTTTGAACCACGAACCTTGTGGTTGGCAGGCCAACACTTACCTGACTGCAGCACCAGAGTTTCTTTTAACCCAATGCTCAAGACTATTATCATTTCAACATATAATCAATATAAAAAGTAATTAAAGAGATATTTGACAACCTTTCGTTATCTACTGTGTGGTCATGAGAAACTGTGGACAGCCTTGAGAAGAACGGGATTCTTGAACACTTCATGGTGCTCCTGCAGAACTTGTACCTGGATCAAGAGGCGTGGCTTAAAATCAGGAAAGGTGTGCATCAGGATTATATCCTCTCACCATGCTTATTCAATCCCTCTGCTGAGCAAATTAATCAGAGAAGCTGGATTATATGAAGAAAAATACAGCATTAGGACCGGAGGAAGGCTTATTAACAACCTGCGATATACAGATGATACAACCTTGCTTGCTGACAGCGAGGAAGACTTGGAAGGCACTTGCTGATGAAGATCAAGGATTGACGCCTTCAATATGGATTATAGCTCAATGTCAAAAAGACCAAAATCTTCATAACTGGACCAAAAGGAAACATGGAGAAAATAAATGGAGAAGGGGTTGAAGTTGTCCAAGATTTTGTCTTGCTTGCATCCATAATCAATGCTCGTGGGAGCAGCAGTCAAAAGAGCAAAGGATGTTTTGCATTGGGTGAGTCTGCTGCACAAGACTTCTTTAACGTGTTGAAAAAATAAGGGGGGGGGGTACTTTGAGGACTCAGGACCCAAGTCAAGGTCCTTTCAGTTACCTCAGTGTGAAAGTTGGAGGTTGACTTAGGAAGACCAAAGAAGAATTGATGCATTTGCATTGTGCTGCTGGAGCTAAATGTTGAAAGTGCCATGGAACAACAACAACAAAGGGCCAACAGATCTGTCTTAGAAGAAGTACGGTCAGAATGCTCCTTGGAGGCAAGGATGGTGAGACTTTGTCTCATGTACTTTGGACATGTTGTCAGGAGAGACCAGTTCTTGGAGAAAGACATCATGCTTGATGAAGTCGAAGGACAGTGAAAGGAGGGAGACTTTCGACGAGATGCATTGGCACAGTGGCAGCAACTATGGATTCCAACATAAGAACAATTGTGGGAGGGTGCAGGACTGGGCTGTGTTTCATTCTGTTGTGTATTGGGTCCCTATGAGGGAGAACCTGCTTGCCGGCACCTAACAACAATATTTATTTATAACCATCAGATTAAATTTTTTAAATTTTACCTTGATTTCATTATAGCAAGGCTACTAAAATTTTGTAAATATCCCACTTTTATTTTCTCAGTGCTGCTCTAGAGCCTAAAGCAATGTTTGATTAGGTGTAGAGTAAATGTAAAGAAAGAGGGAGGCAAGAATGTGGCATCAAAGAAATTTTCCCCAGCTGCCCCGTGGCAGAAAGATGGAGATCTATGCTCCTGCAAGGGTTACCACCTCAGAAAGGTGCTCCATCCGAATCGACTCGATGGTAGTGGGTTGGATTTGGTTTTAGGTTTGGGTTGAGATAGGGAGATCATGAGCATGAATTACCAAGAAGGTCCAGAGGGTGGCCATTGACCTCTTGGGTACTCATAGTACTCCAGAGAACATAAGACACATCACAAGCGTTTATGCCAGAATGGAGAATATTTCTTTCCAGTGATTAGTGTACTTGTGTCAAAGATACCCCTTTCTTACATCTCAATACTCAGGATGCTGGAGGGCTGGAAAATTGCCTGGTCAGCAAGGACCTAGAACAGGGGTCGGCACACTTTTGAGATGGAAGAGTCAATCCCATCCCTCACAACAATTTAAACATTATTTGAGAGCCAAAAATGGGTTTTGACAAACAAATTAAATCAGCATTATTGGAATAATACCCTTTGCCATTTTTCTTTTTCTTTTAATCTTTTATTGGGGGCTCATATAATTCCCATCACAATCCATACATCCATCCATTGTGTCAAGCACATATGTACATTTGTTGCCATCATCATTCTCAAAACACTTGCCTTCCACCTGAGCCCTTAATATCGGCTGCTCATTTTTCCCCCTCCCTCTGCCCTCCCTCATGAACCCTTCATAATTCACAAATTATTATTATTTTGTCTTATGTTACACTGTCTGACAACTCCCCTGCCCTTTCTCTACTGTCCATCCCCCAGGGATGAGGCTATAGGTAGATTCTTGTAGTCGGTTCCCCCTTTCTACTCCACATTCCCTCCACCCTCCAGGCATCGCCACTCTCACCACTGGTCCTGAAGGAGTCATCTGTC